ATTTCCTGCGGCCCAAGAAGATCAGGTTTTTTCTGGTCTCCAAGCTTTTGACTGTGCAGTTATTTCTACCTAAAATGTTCCTTTCTTTATTCCTTCTCTGGTGAACTCCTATTCATCCGATGCAGCCCAGTTTCAAAATCCCATGTTCTGATTGATCAGTTTTGCCTCTCACCAGTAGGCAGAGCTCTAACTCACCAAATCTGGTTCCTTCAGCCCTGCCTGGGTCCCTTCTAACCCAGCCCTGGCTCCATAAGCTCGAAGTGTCTGGGCTAGTTCTATCATTCTGAATAGTTAGGGGCTCTTTGGGGGCCAGGCCCAGAGCTGAGGCTCTTAGCAGAGGCATGTTTCTTGGAGAGTCAGAGAGAAACATTCTTGCAGCTAAGTCCCCTTTTACCAGCCTGGGTTCCAACACGAGTAAAAAGCATGGAGGGAAAGTCACCCAGGGGGGGGGGGCGGAGTCTGGGTCGATGGTTATGTGCATGCATATGCACACACAAGCATGAGGCATGTGTGTGCATGCATGCCTGTGCACCTTGGCCTGTTCTGTGTTCCATGCATGTGCAAGAATAGGCAGGTCAGACAGGTATGCCTTGAGGGGATGTTTTGCTAGATGTGGGGCTCAGGACCCCTTCCTATGTCCGAGATTTCTGTGAAGGTGTGTCTTTCACCTGCCCAGCTGCCCATGACTTCTCCAACCCATCCTTCTCCCCCCAGCCCTGCAACCCATGCTTAAATCCATCTACCCACTCACCTGTGCATCCATCTTCCTACCTCAGGACTTGTATATCTCCCCCACCAACTCACCCGCCCAACTCATCTTCTCGTGGTCCTTCATGCACCCTCCAACCATGCTTCATTCTCCATCCATCACCCACCCACCTATCCATCTATCCATCCATCACCCACCCACTGATCTACCTACCCACCCATGTATGCACTCACCTAAACATCCAAAACCCACCCACCCATCTACTCATTCATCCATCGTCCATCCACCCTACACTGACTTATCAACTTACCATCCACCCATCCATCCACCCTTCCATATCTCCATTCACTCTTCCATTCACCCACTCATCCATCTACTGCCCATCCGTTCATTCACCTCTTCAATGTACTCCATTCACTCAATGTACCCCTTTTGCTCACCACCCACCCCATCCTTTTTCTTTACCCCTGTCTGAAGGACTCAATCACACCCAGAGAAGAGTGTAATGAGACACCCACGAGAGGAGTCCACAGGTTGCTTGAGCAGGTGGGAATCTGTCGGCTTGGGGGAGGGGGAAGTGCCCTCATGTAGGAAGCCGCTTCCCGAACAGGCGATGATATAAAAACAGGGCCTGAAGGCCAGACAGAATACTAAGCAGCAAGAAAGGAGGGTACATACCTGAGACTAGACGGACTAAGGCTGAGAAGTGGGAGACGCATGCACCCACAAGTGCGTGTCTGTCAGGGTGCCTGGGCAGTCCCTCGGTGTGGCTGGGATATATTCCGGCCCCTCCTTTCTCCCACCTGCTAGGGCTCAGGGGCCAGGAACCTGAGGTCCTAACGGGGCCCCCATCCCAGGCCTCCCTTCTCTCCTTCCTCTCCTACCTCCTGCAGCTCCAGCGACTCCAGCACCAGGCCACTGTGTGCACTGCGGGCTCCCGGTTACCCGCTCCCTGCTGGGCCACCAGCGAGCACCAGCAACACTGTGCACTCAGCTCTGACACCCGATCAGCTCTGAGCGGCGGCAGCAGGCCCAGGGGGCCGGGGATGAGCTGAGGGAGGAGGCAGGTTGGCAGCGGGGCTGCCCGTTGGCCAGTGGGATCTAGTGGGAAGACACCGATGTTCTTCCCTATCATCACTGGCCCTCGTTCAGTTTCGGGAATGAGCTACCCTCTTCCTCTCCTCCCAGCCTTTGCACTTGCTGTTCCCCCTGCCAGGAGCGCTCTTTCTGTGCCCCATGTCACCCCCAGCTGGATCCTTCTCCCCCTCTCACTCCTGCTCACCCTTCAGATCTTGGCTGTGACATCCCCTCCCCCAGGAAGCCTTTCGGGATGCCCCCGGCTGGGTCGGTGCCTCCTCTGAGTTTCCTCCTTGCACCTCAGTCACCTGTCACCACTGCCCGGGCACTGGTTTGTAGCCATCGTCAGCCACTTCTGTTCCTGGTGCCTCCTTAGCACACAGGAGTAGGTGCTCAACACGTGTGGCGGTTTTGCTTGTTTGTTTTGAGAGCACATTTATTAAAGCTGGGGACAGTGAAACAAGGAGGAGCTTAGCCTAGAAGAAGCAACAGCAGAGAACCTGGGGGTGGGGGTGGGAACTGCTTGTTATAGGAAGAACTGAGCCGCGGTGGGGCTGCTGTTGACTCACCAAGAAGTCACAGGGACAGGAGTGAGCGGAGGCAGAGCTGCTGTGGGCTCACTGAAAAGTCAGAGGAAGGGGGGCCTTGGAGACAGGTTCAGGGGTGAGCCTGGGATGAGCTGCCGCTGCCCACGGCTTCCCTGGTTGCAAGTCTCTGGGACCCTTAGAACTTGGGGGAGGAGGGAGCAGGACTGAGAAAGAAATGGGGAGCAAGGGTGGGCAGGCTCCAGAGGGGCCGCTCGGGACGTGCTTCTTCAATGCGCCCTAAAGGCCGCCTTCTCCGCCTCCGGTGCTCACGGGGCCATCCCGCCGAGCGGCCATCACCCACCTGGACAGTCAGGTAACAGTGCCACCCAGAGTCCTCTCTAGTGAGGCTCCCCGCCTTACATACACTTCGCTTGTAACTTTATAAACTTCTGAAATGCGCGGTGGGAAGCACCTTGGGCTGGAGGTCCGAGTCCCGGGACCCTTCTCTGTGACTGCATCCTCCGCAGGGTGGGGGCGAAGACGGGGCATCAGTTTACTAATTTATGAAAAGGCGCCTCTCACGCGGGTGTCCCTCGCACCAGCGGCGACTGAGAACACTCACGCGGGC